CCTCTCCTCCCCTTCCCCAAAGCCAGGCACACACCCCCAACCCAATCCTCCTCCCCTTCCCCTTCCCCTTCCCCAGAGCCAGGCACACACACCCCCAACCCAATCACCTTCCTCTCCCCTCCCCTTCCCCAGGCTAGAGCCAGGCACCCCCACCCCTGCTCCCACCCAAACCCCCCCCCCACCACTCTACCCCCCCCCAACCTAATTCTTGGGTCCTGGAGCCGCCACCGCTGCTACAGCCATACGTCTCCCTCTAGGTGCTGGGGCACGTGCACTGAGTGGCCGGCTTTGAGCGTGAGCTGGCTGGGATGCTGTGCACAACCCAATCCCCCACCCCTTCCCAGAGCCAGACACTTCCCCTCCCTGCTGTAACCCAATCTTATGCTCGGGTCCTGGAGCCACTGCATAGCAACTGGGATGCCATGTGCACCACCACTCCCCCACCCGATCCCCTTCCCCTTCTCCAGAGCCAAGCATCTTCTCCCTGCAGCCTTATGCCCAGGTCCCGAAGCCGCTGCCTGCACTCAGCAGCCAGCTGCTAGTACGTGAATTCTGGGACGCTGTGTGTTATCAGGCCTGCACATGCAGGATATGATGCAGTGCTCTGGGGGCAATGAGCACGCATACAGCTCACAGTGGCCTGGCTGTGAGAGCAGCTGACCTGAGCAGTTCTGGATTCCATCCCGGTTCCGTCAGGAGCCGCAATTTTTTTCTTCCTCAGGACCCTTGGGTTGGCCACCCCTGGGAAGAATCGATGTAGTTTGCTACACTTTAAAGGCAAAAGCACTGTGGGGAGTGCAGGGCCACCAGGGGACTCAAGCAGTCCCCTGCTGGTCCTGTGCTCCCCATAGCATTTCAGAGTGGCAGTGCCGCATGGAGCCCAGGGTAAGCTGGGGACTCTGAGGGTATATCTAGACTACATGCCTTTGTCGGCTCAGCGCGCTAGTCTGGACACTCCACAGTCAACAACAAAGGCATTTGTCGACCTCCCCGGTGTGCCTTGTGGGATGAGGTTTACTAGGGAGGTCGACAAATGCCTTTGTTTTTGACCGCGGAGTGTCCAGACTAGCGCGCTGAGCCGACAAACAGCTGATCGGCACAGTGCAGCAGCCATTTAAATTTAAATGAAGTGGCGATTATTTAAATCACCGCTTCATTTCCGTATGCCCAGTAAACAAATCTACACGGCTCCATCGACGGAGCCATGTAGTGTAGACATATCCTGAGTCTCCGGGTGACTGCCACTTTGAAACCCTACAGGGAGGCCGGCATAAGGCTCCACGTAGCGTTTCAAAGAGGCAGCGCTGCATGGGAGCCTGGGGTCAGCAGGGGAGTCCCCAGCTGATCCCAACTCCACACAGCACTGCTGCTTTGAAGCACCCTCTCTTCTTTCCTCCATCTTGCTGCTTCTTTCTGATTGAGGCAGCAAGGGGAGGGAAGCTACTAGTCAACTACTATGTCGACTATCCAATAAGCATTTGCTTATCAGATAGTCAACTAGTCGTTCACATCCCTAGCACAATATTGCACTAGTATCTCGTAAGGGCAGTATCAATAAAATATGTATCAGGATTGTGTACCCAGGAAGTCTGCACTGTGCTACCTGTTGGTCTAACTTGATCTATCTGGTTATTCAATCTGCACTCACTATCATGGTTATCAGTTTTCACAAAGCTGTGCAAAAGCTTTAAAAAAAAAACAGATTTGGGTGGGGTCCAGAAATGTGCACAGCTTTGCATGGGCTTCCGTAGTACTTAATGTCTTGTGTACGTGGAATTTGCACTTGATTACTGTTATAAACCAAACTATCTCAAATCCACTGCCTTGAAAGTAGCACAAATCCAATAGCACATGGGTAACACAGTTTGGATCCACCAACTTGGGAAAAGTATAGTTGTTCACAAGTAGAACTGACCAGAAGAGAACCGTCCCATTTCACAGCAGTTGTGAAGGTTTTTACTTTTTTTAAATTCTTCATTCAGAACAAAGTTTTTCATCACAGATGACACTGAATCAGAGGAAGGATTTTAGCCTGGGTCTCCTGCATCACAGACCAGTGTTTCTCTCATTTTTTTTCTCTTAAAAATTTTGCGATGGAAATGTTTTTGAAATGGATACATCTCTGCTAAATTTGCCTGCTTTGACAATCCAGCATATTTTGGTGAAATTTCATCAATGTTCTGACTAGTTCTATTCACAACCTCTTGTTTTGGAGCCTCCTCAAGGAATGGATGGGTGCCTCTTTAGCTGAAAGGAACACAGTTGCTACATTTCCATTTTTCTGTCACTTTTTTTCCTGACTCTTCTCAATTTCCTTTTCTTCCCTCCTGTCCTCATACTCCCCTCCCAGCTTATTTTTTCTATTTGTTTGAATGCTTTCCTGTTTTGTCATCCTCTCTGCCTTTTTCCACACTCACCCCAAGTCTACATGTTACACAGTTTGGGTGATTTACTGGTGACTTCATCAAGCTAAATGGGTGAAAATTACTGTTGACTTCAGTGGAGCAAAGATCTCATTCCACGACAACTGTGTTGATCTATTAAGCAATGGGCTTGGTTTAAGACAAATTCTAATACTTGTTTATTAATTTGTCTTCATGTTGCCATCGCTAAGATTATCAGTTCACTTAATACATAACACATAGTTCAGTCTTGGCTTTTTACAACTGTTCTACCTATTTTAATATCAGATTACAGACACTAGCTTCCACTACTTTCTTCACATCTCCATTATCTGGCATATTATGAGGTTTGGAGTACTTTGATTACTTAATTGAAAGGTCTAGCATTCTTTTTTGTAATGTTACAGTTATAATAGTTTGAGTGCATGTAGTGCAGTATGTAATGAAGATTTATGTTAAAGGATGAATTCAGAGTTTTCTACTGAGTTATTCTGTATGCCTCAGAAGAGCGTTAGTTTATTTATTTAATTATAGTATATGCATAGAGAACTGAAGTGGAAACTTGTAACTTGCTACTTTTTGCAATTATGTACTTATTTCTCACTTCTCCATTAGTCCTCTTTCTTTCCTTAACTCCTGCTGATGTGCATCCACTGCAGTATCAGAGCATGATAGAAATAGGTGAAAAATCACCCTGCAGGTTTAAATTAATTGCACTACTCTGTTATGCTTCAAGCTTTAGATAATGTGCTACAATTTTTTTTTAATTTAACTGTATTTGGAATGGGAAGTTTCTGTAATTACTAAAGTTCTTAGGAGTTTACTAAGCTTTTTATTAGACTAGAGGTGCATACATACACTTAGCCTTATAGTATTCTATATATTCACATATATCATCAGTAATTTTATGGTATGTTTTCTGAGGGAATCATCTCAACAATAATTTTCACTATTTAATAACTTTCATAATAGTTTGTCAATCAAGCAATTCTATTTTGTGAGGTATGTTGTTGAAGGAACATACTTTTTTATTATTGGAGTATTCAAATCCTGTTGTTTTTTTACCTCGAACAGGGAGTTTTTTCCAATATTCAGATAAAAAATAAAATAATATATCAAATAACATAACTGTGGAGAGATGAATGGTTCTTATGTCTCCATCTTAAGAACTTTTTGTTAGTGAAGAAACTATGTGAAAAAGGTGCCAAAGAGATCTGTTCCTTGAATACTTAGAAGTCTCCTTTCTTTGCTGAATAAAAAACATTTTTCCTAGTTTTTAGTCCTCTACCCCTGCAGTCGTTGCTGTTCTACTAATGCCTCATCAACGGAATAATTAACTATAATTCAGTTGCAGCGTCTTTATTGTTGGTGATGCACAAACTAGAAAGAAGCCATCTTGACTTTATCTGTAGCCTGGCCTTGAAAAGCTTGATTGACATAACTGTTCGGAAAGTGTTTTTATTTTTTGTTTTTTGTTTTTTGTTTTGGTTGGTTTTTTTGGGCCAACATAACTATGCCACTAAAATCTTGAGTGTAGACATACGTATGCTTTTATAAAAGTGTATTTTACTGGTATAACTGCATCTAAACTAGCAGGGTTTCACTGCTTTAATTATGCTGTGAAAAAAGTCTGAAATCCTATGATTCCATTTTTACCAAGTTTCTTTGCTGAGTTGAGCTGCATTTTAATTCCAAACAACTGTTTTTATCGATTACATACAGATCAATCTGGTGGCATGTTTTGTTGTAACGTAAAAGAAAAATATCGACAGTGGGACTTTCCTTTTGTCGTCTGTAACCGTGCACAGTAGTTATGTGACCAAGGTTACTTATACAAATAAAGAACAATTCAACTCATTTTAAAAATGAGGAGTCCTGTGGCAGCTTAAAGACTAAGGGTATGTCTACACTACTACCCTAGTTCGAACTAGGGTGGTAATGTAGGCACCCGGAGTTACAAATGAAGCCCAGGATTTGAATTTTCCAGGCTTCATTTGCATCTTGCCGGCCGCCGCCATTTTTAAATGTCCGCTAGTGCGGACTCCGTGCAGCGCAGCTACACGCGGCACAGACTAGGTAGTTCAGACTAGGCTTCCTATTCCGAACTACCGTTACTCCTCGTAACCCTACTAGGGTGGTAGTGTAGACATACCCTCATAAATTATGTCACCACTATACTTTCAGTGCTTTGATTATTTTTTTGTATCTTTTTGCCATGTGGACTGTCATATCACCACAGGCTGTATGAATCTGGGCTCATTTTAGCTAGTGTTCTAAATTTTTTACATCAGAAATGTGAAGTCATAACAGCAAAGTTACAGAGAATGTTATTTAGGATAAAGAAAAATAGGGCCTGATTCTTATTTACACTAAAACACTTTGCAACACTCTGGCAGTATAATGTGGCTTTAAAATGTATGTAAAGTGGCTTTCATGTACATGGAAAATCAGTCCCATGATGTCTCCATTATTTAAAGTATTCTGCATGGTTATTATCCCCTTTTCATTTTGTTCTTTTCCCTATATTTGGCATATATGAGGAATGATAACCACCATTAATCACCATTAATTAATTGAATGTCTTTCTTTTTGTTACAGAACGCTTTACACAGTACAGCTCTAAAAACCTTAGACAAGCATGGAATAAGTAAGTTTCTTTTTTAAATTTATTCTTTAACTTTCCATCCATACGGTCTGGCTCATGCTGAAGTTAACATAGCTAATTCACAGTGCCTTTTGCTTTTTTGCCAATACATAGCAACATAGAATCATCCACTCCTGCATTTATCTGTTCTAAATGTGCTTTGCTTACCAATGTTCAAGTGAAGGCCCAGCTTCAGCTCAAATACTATCTGATACTATTTAACCAAATAATTTTGTGTGGTATTAGGTTTAAAATTTGACTTCATCTTTATACTTTGGGTGTACTATGCACATTTCTATAACAGAAATTTTCATGTGGTTCTTTGGACCGTATTTTACTCGGGGCGGGGGAGGGGAGAATTCTTTGTCAAAAAATTAAAAATATTGCTTTACTATTTTAAAATTCTGCATATAATATTTGTCAAAATAACACAATATAATCATGATAGTTTCAATTATTTTAGTTATTTCAAAATATCTGCCAATAAGTATGTCTATAACAGTACAGTCAAAAAAGATTCAGGAAATGGTTTTAACAGATTCCCCACTAGACATATAGTAGTAATTAATTTGAACTACAATATAGAAACACATCTTAGAACTAACTTCTGATGGGAGAAACAAGGTTTCGAAATATTCAGAGCTCTTCCTCAGATCTGTGAAAAGTACTCAGTGTCACAGTTAAATACAAAGGTCGATCAGATATACAGATGGAACCTCTCTAGTCCGACACCCTCAGGACCTGACAGGTGCTGAACCAAGAATTTGCCAAACCACAGGAGGTCAGTATCGTCTAGCAGCATTACCAACATTCCACTGCCTACTGGGTTCTTGCAAGACATTTAGGGATAAACTGGAACTATATAACAGCACAGAACACTGAGAACCAGGACTGATGGCTAAAAACAAACTTTATTGAACTGTGGGAAACTTGGCCACACACGACAGGTGTACATGCTCTAAGGCAGTTTTTCTGAAAGTGTACTGAGAAAACACTTTCAGAAACACTTCAGCTGGCCGTCCTGGTTTGTTTATGTACCGGCGCCGCAGCCATGGAGCCTTGCTGCTCCCAATGGCTCCGTTTCATCCTTTGCATGCAAGGGGATCCGCGGGAAGTGGTGTGGGCCAGGCCACCGCTTCCTATGGCTCTCCTTGGCTGCAAAGGATGAAACAGAGCCAATGGGAGTCGTGAAGCTCCATGGTTGTGTGGCGCCGGTACATAAACAAATCGGGACGGCCAGTTGAAGTGTTTCCACAGTAAACTTTCAGAAACACTGCTCTAAGGGACCCAAGGTGAAGTGGTCCATTAACACCACTATAATCCTAAAACAAAACCACGGCCTAGTTCAGCGTTTCTTAAACTGTGTTCCATGGCACACTGGTGTGCCGCGAAGCAGTCGGAGGTGTGCCGTGGAGATATGGTGATCATACATCCCTTTTTTCCAGGACAGTCCTGGATTTAAAGACACCCAGCGCTAGCGGGGCGCAGCAGCAACTCCCCGCCTCCACCCAGCACCTAAGCGGCTCCCTTGGTGCTTTGCGCGGGCAGCCAGGGCTGCTGCCAGTGTCGCACAGTGTCCAGAGCTCCGAGCTTCCTTGTAGCATGCGCTGCCATCTAGCAAGCCCCTCCCCCCACTGCGTGTCCCTTCCCTCCCACTACAGAACTGCCTCCACTGTGCACCACCAGCCCGGCCTCTTCTATCCACAGGGGGCTGCCACCACTGCTGGAGGAAGGGGGGCGCTGCTTGGAGCTGGGGAGCCGCTCCTGGGAGCTGCCGCCAGAGTCCCGGCAGAGACCACGCAGAGCCTGGCTGGAGTGCTGCCCAACGGGATACGTTCGGGCTCTGCTGGTGTGCTCTGTGCACGGCCCTTTCTCTCCCCGCCCCTTCCCACTCCACTGGGGGAGCAGCAGTGCACAGACCCGCTCGCTCTGCAAGCCAGATCTGGGAGGGTGGGGGCTTTCTCCCCTCCTCTCGCCTGTGTTCCTCCTAATGGGAGCCAAAGTTGATGTGGGGACTGGAATGCAGCACTAATATTAGCACCTTGGGCGGCCCATCTCCAGGCCCGGAAAGCGGTCCTGCCTTGGAAGCAGCTGGAGCCAGGGATGCGGGGACTTCTGGGGCCCAACCACAGACTCCAGCACGCAAACTGGAAGGCAAAAGGTGGGGAAGGGGCTTGAAGAGAACTAGGGAGATGGATGTTGAGAGAAGAAGGGGCTTGTGCTGAGGGAGGGGGACAGGGCAGGAGAAGAAAGGGGAAGGCACCAAGGGACATGATGTAGGAGAGACAAATGCCAGGGACCAAGTGGAGACAATGAGGAATAGGGCAGAAGGGTGGAAGGGAGGTGTCAGTGGGGGTGGGAGGGTGGAGGGAACAGGGTGATGCTGGGAGAGGAGAGGGGAAGGGCAATGGGGGCAAGAGGAAGCAAGGGGAGAGGGAGGTGCTGGGAGAAGGGTTGAAAGGAGGAGTGGGCATGAGGAAGGCAGGGGATGGAGCAAGTTATGTGTGAGGGCACAGAGGGGCATGAGATGAACTGGGGCAGAGGGTGGTGAGGGGATGGACATCAGAGAGAAAGAGGGCAAGGGCACCGGGGCAGTGAGAGAAGGAGGAAGCACCAGGAGGGTGCAAGGGTAAGGGAAGGTGCAGGTGCCAGGGTATTCTGGGGGTGAATCAGAAGGGCAGACACCTGCAGGGGAGAGACCAGCACTAGAGGAGAGAGGGTTCAGTGGGGGCCAAACTCATCCCCTATGGGTAGGAGGATGTAGGAGAATGGTCAGAAAAGTTCTTAGAGGGGGTTACTTTTATTTCTGGTCATGTATCCATCTTGACCCTGAGAGTTAGGGGCATAGTAAACAGAGGAGAGAACTGAGTTCAAATGGCTGTCCTTAAAAGGGGCAAACTCGGAGAGACCAGCACCAGAGGAGAAGAGGGTTCGGTGGGGGCCAAACTCATCCCTTATGGGTAGGAGAATGGTGAGAAAAGTTCTTAGAGGGGGTTACTGTTACTTCTGGTCATGTGTCCATCTTGACCCCGAGAGTGAGGGGCATAGTAACCAGAGGTCAGGGGATTGCAGGTAATGTGTCCCTAATTTTGGTTCAGAAAATATGGTCAGAATTCAAATGGCCGTCCTTAAAAGGGGCAAGCTTCCTTTTTTGCGGGGGGAGGGGGAGATGGGGGGGTTACAAAACTCCTTGGTGTTCCCCGTAAAAAAACAATTATTGTTTGGTGTTCCTCTGTCTTAAAAAGCTTAAGAAATACTGGGCTAGTTGGTTACAAATTGTTGTCATCAACTGTTGTAATAAGCCATAAATCCAGTGTCTATTAAGAGCGTGATTTTTAGTGTCTAGAAAAGTTATGAATATAAGCTCCAATTGTTGTACAGGTTTCCTTTGCGGATGATAGGTCAAATATCACACATGCAGAATGGGAAGTGACTGTCTGGGAAGGAGTACTGCAGGTCTAGTGGGTCATAGTGGACCACAAGCTAAATAATGTCAATAATGTGGCACTGTTGCAAAAAAAGTAAACATGATTCTCGGATGTGTTAACAGGAGTGTTGAGCAAGAAGTGAGATGTAATTGTTCTTCTCTACTCTGTGCTTATTTGACCTCAATTGGAGTATAGTGTCCAGTTCTAGGCACCACATTTCAAGAAAGATAAGAAATTAGTGTGTGTCCGGAAAAATCAACAAAAATGGTTAAAGGTCTAGAGAATATGACCAATGCGGGAAAGCTGAAAGAAATGGGCTCATTTAGTTTGGAAAAGAGAAGACTGAGAGGGGAATGATAGCAGTTTTCAAGTTCCTAAAAAGGGTATTACAAGGAAGAGGGAGGAAAAATTTTTCTCCTTGACCCCTGATGATAGGACAAGAATCAATGGGCTTTAAGTGCAGCAAGGGGGGTTTAGGTTGGACTTTAGGAAAAACTTCCTGTCAGGGTAGTTGAACACTGGAATAAATTGCCTAGGGAAGTTGTGGAATCTCCATCCTTGGAGATATTTAAGAGCAGGTTAGCTAGACATCTATCAGGTATCATCTAGATGGTGCTTGGTCGTGCTGTAAGGGCAGGGGACTGGACTTGATGACCTCTTGAGGTCCCTTCCAGTTCTAGTGTTCTATGATACTATGATATAGAGTGATTGCTTTGTGAAAAGTGTTCATCCTTAAGTGATATGTGTCTCTTTCTTCATTGCCATTTCCTGTGAGTTCATTCAAGATAATAATGACTATTTGGCTTCATCGATAGAATTGCTATTGGGGCTGTTAGTGCACTGGATGAGATGTACCACATGCTATAATAGGTGTCTGTAGGACTATTGGATATTGAAAGGTATGTTGGGGTGGAGAGGTTGATCATCATTACAGTGGAGCTGTTTTTCTTCGGTTGTTTTGCCAGTGTCTTTGAGCTGGTGTGTTCTGGTTTGCAGAGAACTTGCATCTGATTATGAGATTGGGGGGTTGTTGGAAAACCAGAATAGGGAGTTCGGTGTGCATGTATGTGTATAAAATAGCTGCTCCCAAGATCTTATTTTCACAGCAGTGAACAATCTTAAAGTTGGTCCGTGATTATTTACTGTGGTGGCATTCTAAGGGCTGTATGAAGAGAAGCACAACAAAATTATTAAAGGTCTAGAAAACTTGACCTATAAGAGAAAAACGAAACTACTAAGTTTGTTTAATTTGGAGAAGAGAGGGAAACATGCTAAGTCTTCAGGTACATAAAAGGTTGTTATAAAAAGCAAGGTAATAGTTCACATTCTTGACTGAATATGCTACAAGAAGCTTAATGGGCTTAAATTGCAGAAAAGGAGATTTAGGTTAGACATTAGGAGTTTTTTTTTCATTTTCAGGATAGTTAAGCACTAGACCCAATTGCCTAGGGAGGTTGTGAAATATCCATTACTGGAAGATTTTAAGAACAGGTAAGACCAGGGGTTCCCAAACTTTTTGACACTGGGACCAGTAAATCCATTCACGAGCTTTTGGAGGACCAGTAACATTCATTT